CTCACCGACAGCGTTGAATGTTCACTGAAGCAACCATAAGAAACAGAATTCCAAAGACTTCACAGTATTCATCCTTAAATGTCTAAAGTGAAGAAAAAAAAAGAAAAAAGAAAGACAAGACTTTTAATTTGGTAGATTAATTCTGTTTAAAATCACTGTTTCCATCACATTTGACTGTTGACTTATCCATCAAATCAATCTATTGAGGAATTCTCAACAAAGTACTGCTGCTCCATATTTAATGCACTTTTCTTGTTTGGGGACTTTAAGCAGAGGAATAAAGAGAAAGGTATCCATAAATCTCTGAAAAAAAAATTACATCAGAACAAAGTTCCTCTCTATTAAAATAAAATAAATCAAAAGTTTATACAAAGTAAACTCAAAATAAAATAATAAGTTTAATCTATTGTTCAGTCTTAAAAATAACACCACTTTTACAATACTGGCTCCAAATTGACATCTGTAATTCTTATAATACTCATGCATTTTTCTTGAATATTTTCACAATAATTATTTGGCACTTATTATTATTGCCTAATTATGCCTAAGGCAAATGTAAATTTAAAGCCAACAGGCTTGTCTCCTGACATTCGTTCTTTCATATTTGGCAATCCCGTAAAGCTCAACAATTCCGGAAAATGATTTACACTAGAATGAAACAAATCTTAAAAACTGAATTCCCATTTCAACCTATGAATACTTAACAAACTTTACCAAACCATTTTTTTCTCAAGTATACTGAATTAGCTTTAAATTTAACTGCTGCAAGGACATTACATGGCTGTGCCTGGAAAAGTTGTCTGATCCTTTCAGTGGAAGAATGCCTAACCAAGTTCTGGGAATATGCTTCTATGTTTAAAATAACTTTGTACCTTAAAAGTAAATCTGATACAGATTTAAGCTAAATCTAGAAACCTTCCATACATGGATTGGTACCATATCTAAAATTTGGGTTTATCTATGCATAGAATTTATATTTCAATTTAATGAGCTATGTAAATCAAAATAGGGTCTTAGTAATATGGACTGAACTTACAAAGTATAATTTTATACAGTGATTTATGTCAACCATGGCCCTTGATATTCATTTTTAGCTCAATGAAATTTTGATTTTGGGATTTGATGATTATTTATTCTATAACTACAGAATTATCTTGTATTACTCTTTTTATATTTCTTGTTGATACTTATTTTGTAATCTTTTTAAATGTTAGAGCAAAAGATAGTTTTTATTACGTGAATTTTTAGATATTGGAGTAAGAGGTGAATGTGTTTTATACCTATGCCTGTACCAAAGAAAGTCAGAAGTTACTTTTCTTTTTCTGTACTTTTCTCTCTTTTGTTGTTTCTTTTCTTTTTGATTTTTCTGTATTTTACTTTTTTCTGAAACCCAATAAAATTTATTGAAAAATGTGTTTAGAAAGATACTCATTTTTAGCTCAATATCCACATGAATGGAACTTGATTCATGGTTTACAGTTAATCACGTTTAACATATCATTATTATATCCTTCCTTCATTTTTTTCAGTCACTTTTTTCTTCCTGTAACTTCTCCCTTCCGCAGTTTATTATTTTACTTCCGTGATATCAATCAAGCAAATGAGCTCCTTAGTTGTCGTTCCCTGAGATTCTATCTCCTAACAACAGAGTTGGCTGCTTTTTGTTTCCATTTTTTTCTTTTTTTTACTAATAACATATTTGAAAGCTCAGTACTACTACCATCCTTCTTCTGTTTATTTCCCACCTTGAGTGCAATTTGAAAATCTCTGCTGTCTTCTGAACTTTCAGTTCTATAGTCTGCGTTTTACATTATTTATTGGTTAAGAGTGACTTTCTCCCCTTCTTCCATCATCTGGTTTCCATCTTCTTTTTTAAAGAAACCCTGTGGATTGGCCATGTGTGCCTTTGCTAGTCTGTGCTACAAATGCCAGATTTATTTTATGTACATTTCATATCTCCAGGCTTCTGAGAACATTCACATTGGCTGAAACTTTTCTTTTTCTTTATTTAAGGTTAGTAGGTCATAAATAAACCAAAACACTTTTCCTTGCTCTGAGCAATTTGCTCATAAGAGTACATGAAATATCACTTCTAAAAACCAAGGAACCTAACGTGACTTGACAGGAGTACACGACAAAGTAGTTCATTGTGTTGCTTTAAAGGCCATAGGGATTTCAGCTGTGGAAGTTGTCTGTCTTAGGAATAGATTAAATATCTTGTCTGATGACCTGTGCTTAATTTAAGTGGTTGCCTTTGCCAGCCCTTCCAGAGGGCATATATGTGAAATAGAGCATCTCATCTTCCATCTTCGATTCTTTTCATTGTCCTGATAGTTTGACCTAAATTGAAAACAGGAATGCTGCACGGTACAGAATATTTAACAGTTATGCCAAGTGGCATATTTAAGCCTGTTAATTAGAAGGAAACAATCTTTAGTTTTACATAGGAAGCTGAAGGTCAAAATGAATACTGTTACTTTATTTAAATATGTTTTAATTATTTTAAATTAAAATAATAAATAATTATTAATAAAATTATGTAATAAATAAATAGTTTACTAATGTTATATAATAAAGCAGAGCACTGCTGATGTCATAAATTTCTACCAGTATCTGGACATTTTCAGATTTGTTGTTTATCATTTCTACTGTGTATATTAGAGCAAAATACTATGATGATGATTTGTTTCAGCCAAAGTAAGTTCAATTGATTTCAGCAGAAATGAGAAATACCTTTTTAGGACTCTCATACTGAAATCAATCAGGCTTGAAATGTCTGCTGGATTAGGCCCATCTTAGCACAACTCTGGGCAACTCACAACCACAGTAAAATTACAAAAACCATAACACCATAAAAAACAGAAACTGTGACTGATGCAAATTATGTCATTTGCATGATGATGTCATGGCCTGTGTGACATCACTTGCTCCCCCTGTGGATGCCCATGTTTTATGGATAGCTGAATACTGATACTGCCAGCTGTAACATACAATGAACTAGAGGTGACAGACTGTAATACTACTAGACCAGCTTTTCCGCATCTACTGAGAATGCAACTTCTCAAAATCAGGAGTCTGGTAGCACATTTTCTGACTAACACATTTTATTAAAATTTCTATTTGATTAAGTGGGCTGCAGCTCACAAAAGCTGATGTCTTCTAATAACATTTGTTAGTAGGAAAAGGTGCTGCCTGACTTCTGATTTTTTGTTAGCATTGCCTAACACGGCTCTTCTCTTGCAATGCAATTTCTTAGAATCCTAAAGGCAGGCCTGTATTAGGAATTGTTTTCCCCAAAACCTGGAGGCTGCCAGGAGGAAGAATGCTGCCCTGATTTTGCTTCTAATCATCACTGTTTATAAATTTCAGCACTGGGTATTTTAGCTTTATTTAACACAAAGTTTCTATTTAGTTAAAAAGCCACCTGTAGATTGTATTTTGTGAATTTCTATACTCCTTTACACAAGTCAACTTAATTCTATATATTCATTGTATTGTGAGAAAGAAAGCGCTGGAAGCTATAGTTCAATATTGGGAGGTAGCAGTTGTATTCAACTGTGGAATAATAAAAAATTAGATATTAGACTGAAGGTATACAGATGAAAAAATATGTACATACAGAGGCAAGAAAACTTCTTAAAGGCTAGGATCATCGTGGGTGTGTGGCTAATACAAGCTTTATCCCTCACAAGTCACCATTACTGGTCGGGGTCACAGAAGATGAGATGTATCTCAAAGGACTTCTATCTCCAGCAACTATTCGTAGTGACTATAGGTTTGTTAGATTTTGCATCCCTAGGCAATTACTTTGTAATACAAAAATGAAGCCTCATAGTGGCTGATACATGTTTAGGCCTGAGTTTCATTTTAATCTCCTCATATCTAATTCTTGTGAGAAGATGGGATTTCAATTTGCCCCAGCTACCATCACAGGTCTTCAGAACTGTCATAAACCTGTGCTTTCAAAGCTCCCAGTGTACCTGTCATGAGGTTTCTAAGCAATGTTTCATCATAGTTACAGCCATACGTTTGTTGGTAGGAGCTCCTTAATTTTTGTTAATTATCTGGAAGGGGTTAAAATGAAAATTGGACATGACAAAATTATTCATTTGGAATGATCTGAAGGAATGCTATATCATTAAGTCTCATAGTGACCAGCACATATAGGATAAAGACATTTTGAAATATTTCTTGGAGCCATACATGGCTTAGGTTCTACTTGAACATGGCAACACAAGATGCCAAAAATGTTAACTTATCTTAGTAAAATATGTATTAAAGAACAAGATGCAGGCGTGATGAGCAAACAAAAGTATGGTCCCAGTAGAGAATGGCATCCCAGGGACCATTAGATACATTGGTTTCTGTCTTTGTGGTCAGAAAGAAAATCCTATCCTCGTAGGAAGGAATCTGGTATCAGATCCTCTTTCCTTGTCAGATGCTGAGATTAATTTTTTCTGAGGTCAGGAAATTCCAGTCCCCAGAAAGTTCCCACAGAGATGTGCCTAGGGCTAGGTCTGGCCAGAACACCTTATGATCTAATGGAACCAAAGCTCCCTCTGGTTTGCTGCCACAACCCTGAACTGAATCAGAATGTATACCAGCTGTTTGGTCTGTGTCCCTTCTCACTGCCTGCACCAGAGAGTAGCTTTGTCCAAAAGTACACAAAGAAACAATTTCACAGAAAACAGAGGACAAATCTCTCTTTGTCCTCATTTTTGTTCTGCTGGCTATAGCCAACAGTGTAATTGTACATGTCAGAGCACTCCAAACTAAACTTAAACTTGCTCTGTTAGGTACCAAAGTATTAAACTAATTGCTATCATTTCTGGTTCACTGCCCCGTCTCAAGGATGGGATATATTTTTGATATTTGAAAACAGTATGGAGGAAGGAAATAGGATTATGTGTGAACAGAAGGCAAAGCATCCTGCAGCAACTGCTAAAATAGGGCAACTTATCTAGGCTTTTTAATGGTTTCCTTTTCCTTATAGCCCCAACAAATACGATTTTCCACAGCACGAGGACTGGAGAAGTTTAACACTCATTATTTCACCTTGTCTTCTCCTTAACTGTGCAAAGAACAGAAAGCATAGCAATTTCATAACTGAGGTTATTCATTGCAGCAAACTCAGGAAATACTAGCAATAATTCATCTAGCTATGAAAACATTACAAACTAGAAATCAGGAAAAATATAAAATAGTGGCTGGTGCACTTATAATCATTTGCTTAAACTCAACAGATCTTACTAACACAATTTCTTAACAAGACAAGGTTTGTTATGTTTCTAAAGAATCGACAATGTCAGCTCAGACACCATCAGCAGCACCAGTTCCTCAAATGCTAATCTGATATTATGGCATAGGGTGGTTTAACTGAACTATATCCCTTTAATTGTTCCTATAACAGACCCATTATGGCCAAGTCACAGAAAGTGTTTACAGTTGTCATCAATTTATCACAAAACATTAGTTCTGATCACCACAGGTTTTAGCATCTCAGTTGAGAGTGTCCACAAAGTATATGTGATTCTTTTTCAAACACTGTACTGATAACTACTGATAGTACTTTCCTATGTCCAGTGCACAGTTCCTAACTACTAGATATGCTGAACTGATTTTTCTAATGATATATACACAGCCAGATTCCTTCAAATGAACTTATATTTTATAGTTGTACTTTGTAGGGAAAGCAGAGAAAGATCAGGTCCAGCTGCCACCAGTTGCCATGAATTCTTAAATAAAAGAATGTCAAAGCCTACGCAAAGCCTTTTTCTTAGTGCTTAGGAATGAACCAGGAGAAAAATTCATTTCTCAGGTTCTACTTCCAGAAACCAGAAAGCAAGACTGAACCGTTTCCCATTTTTTTACAAGTATTATCTCAAAGCATAACTGTGAAAAGGTGAGGATCAGTACATATGAAGTTTCAGTGTCAATCATTCTGACACATTATGTTACACCATGGAAGCACGAAGAAATGAATCATATTAAAGCTCCACACTTACAGTTGCTTGAGAAAAGTGATTAGGAATCTTGATTCTGATATTGTGTTCCTCACCATTTTATTATTTCAGCAAATTTCCACTGAACAGCTGCAGATTTGGTATGGCCAAGACCTTTAGACACAGATGTTTGTGATGTTGCTATGAAACTTGGTGAGAAGACGAAAGTAATTCTATTCTTTCATGAAATCACATTGTGATACTATACTACCATATGCAGGAAACCAGGAATCACAGCATGGGACATGTAGTCAGCTTTCAAGATTTTAGCACATTCAACTTACTTTCACAGTGTCAAAAGCCAGGAAGCTGAAGAAGTATTTTTAAGAAAAACCGAATGCTACACTGTACTGATAAACAATTGCAACTGTGAATGAAAATAGAGTAACATTGTTTTTCACAAGGTAGCTACATCAAGAGCATACTACCTATGATAGAAATCTTGTAGGAGCATAACATGTGTGCCATTTTTCAGCTGTTCCTCTGTGAGAGCGAGGAAACAGTTATTTACATTTTCATAGGATTGTAATTAGTGTAGCAAGAGGTAAAATCCACATTAGACTGCTCTTTCACAGGTTTGGGATTCTTGCTATGGACTGATGACTGTGAATATAAAACAGACTGCCTTGGAACATGTCTGAGTTAGAAGAATGAAATACAATACACATCTGTGTTCACATGCATGTCACTATCATTGACACAGGTATGGTATGTTGGGCAGTCATATAACCCATACCTCCCCAAAAGTATGCAATATCAAAAATATACATAACATCCTATACCATTTTTCATTTGTTAAGACTTTTTAGTATCTTAGAGTTGGTGAGTTTTTTCCTCTCTCACATTTTTGGCAATTTCTACCATCCATGTGGTGATTTAGGAAAGAGAACACTATAGGTCGTCCCCAGGTTAAGAACGCCTGGGTTATAGACAACCCATAGTTAAGAATGGAGCCTATTGTAGCAAAAGTTGAGTTAAATACACAATGATTTCAGTTAAATACACAATGGTTCAAGTTTATTACACAATACTACTTATACAGTATAGTGTTATACAATAATACTATCTGACTTACATACAAATTCAACTTAAGGACAAATTGTGGGAATGGAACTCATTCTTAAACTGGGGACTACTTGTGTTGCCAAACAAGGCTGATTTGGGGTTGGGCTGTTAAACAAATACATAAAATGAGGCATCTGTATCCTGTCAAAAATAAAGTAGTAAGAAATTAGAATTGGTTTCAAAATGTATGTGGACTGTCAAATGCATCTAGTGCCCTCTTCAACTTATTTAAATTATAAATAGATCAGCTTTACTCTCTCTGCATAGCTACTGGTTGCTATATCCAGTCCTCCCAACTGTAATGAGAATTTTCAACACAAAAGAGAGAATGTAACACTGAAAAGAAAAGACTGGGACCAATTTTTTAAAAAAACCTCACAAACCTGATACTTTTGTTTTTTCAGGAAGGCCTCTAATGCTTTGGTCAAAATGTTTGTGTATTTGGCCATGTTTGTTATGCTGAATCTGGACAAGCAAGTATTTTTAATAAGTATTTTATTCTTAGAGAGCCAGTTTGGTATAGTGGTTAAGGCACCAGGCTAGATGCAGGAACTATAAATTCTAGTCTTGCCTTAGCCATGAAGCCAGCTGGGCCAGTCACTCTCTCTCAGCCCCAAGAAGGAGACAATGGCAAACCACTTTTGAAAAACTTTGCCAAGAAAACTGCAGAGACTTGTCCAGGCAGTCGCCAAGAGTCAACACTGTCCTGAAGGCCCCATCCATCCATCCATCCATCCATCCATCCATCCAAATATATAACATGGTTCTTACAAGGAGAACCATAGCTATACCTGTTGAATTTGTAGAGTGGTGAGAATTTCATTAGGTTTGGTTTTGACAAGGATATACCAATATCTTAATTTCTTTCACTTGAAGGAATAATAAGACTGAAAAAAGTGGGAGGTTTTTTTGTTGTTGTTGTTTTATTAAAATTGAATGGGGGAGAAAACAAACTAATCTACATTCACAGCATTTACAAGTAGATATGGGGAAAATTTTAGTTGGATACATATTTTTAAACTAATTTATGTTAATTGGAAGAATTCTGCATTATCGTTTTTAGGTCAAAATCTATACACAATAATGTGCATATTAGAGAAACCTGACATAAAACATGTGCCATAGTCATTTGCATATGGAAGTATAAATGTTAAGAAAACTGTATACAGAATTACTTATCAACATTTTAAATTCATAGGCTAACAGAAATTGGAACAAATGTTATGAATACACATATGAAAAAGTGAACTGTCCTGCATAAAGAAAAATGTATTCTTATTTATTTTTTAAAATATTATACTTTCTGAGAGAAAAAAAGGAACGCATAAAAGGAAAATTAAGAATGATCACAGAAGGAAAAGAAAATTGCAGCTAGTTTGCAGAAAAATATACTTGCACTAGTTCTATCTTTGAAGGCAGATAAAGATAAAACTTCACCACCTTTTCATTATTTTTTAAATATTTACCATTCTCCCTTTTTCAGCTCCATGCTCTTTAAATCGTTCTCTTGTACCTCCCCAAAATTTTACAGCTTGACAGGCAATCTGTGGGGATAAAAATAGCTTGTTAGAAGATTTTATACCTAGTACTAACAGCCATTGACCATTAAACTTCTTTTCACTGGTTACATACTTGGTTCAATCATGTTTGAGTCACAGCAACTTCTTGGTTGAAATAAAAAAGAAGTCACAGCATAGCTTCTTCCTCACTCCCTTTCTTTGGTATGCTAACTGGTTTATTTTTGTTTTATTTACCCTCTCCTTGCAGAGGAACTCAATTTGTGAATGGTGTAAAGCACACTGTAATCAAAGTCCAAAGATAGGAAGCCTAGAAGAAGTTGGAGTGAAGTTAAAAGTTGCAGTGGCCTATGACTGGAAAGAATAATACTTTGTTCAGATAAAATTGAGGTTCACATGATAAAACTCAGAAGAATATAAAACAGTCATTTTACAATTGTGAGGAAACTCAATTTATAACTCCACATTTTTTAACTGATTCTTCATCAAATCTGAAAATTTGAACAGCAAAACCACTCTGGTCAGCTACCAAAAAATTACTTCCTTGAACACTAGTAATGTTAAAGTAGTAGTTGGTGTCTGTTTCTTACTGTCATTCTTCTTCTGTATAGGTAGAAATCTGGCAGATTTAGACTCAGGATTTCTAGTTGCTGAAAGCTAATTGTAAAATATCAATATAGGATTTTTTTTAACAAAACTTTTTACAGGTCATTATCTGGCTGTTGTAATTATCTGTGGTTAAGGCACCAGGCTAGAAAGCAGGAGACTGTGAGTTCTAGTTCCACTTGGGCATGAAAGCTGGCTGGGTGACTTTGGGTCAGTCGCCTTCTCTCAGCCCAACTCACCTCACAGGGCTATTATTGTGGGGAAAATAGGAGGAGGAAGGAATATTAGGTATGTTCGTCCTTGAGTTATTTATAAAAATAAGAAAGGTGGGATAAAAAAAATCTAAAAAAAGCCGAACAAACAAACAGGAGAACCAGTTTGATACAGTGTTTAAAGGCAACAAGCTAGAGACCAGGAACCTATTAGTTCTAGCCCTGTCTTAGGCATAAACCAAGTTTTTGTTGTTATGATTATTTTATTTAAATATATTATAGCCGCCCACTCCCATAGCCTCTGGGTGGCTTACAAGTACAAATACAAAACAATAAAAGCAGTTAAAAAACAGTTAAAAAGTATAACCCCACAGGCAGCCCAAACTAAACAATCATAACCAGTAATAAATCAAACCACACCAGGGGCCCCACAAGCACATCAACCCCAAAGACCAACATCAGTTTTCTGAAACCCCAGGAGAGAGGGCACTGTCTGTATTTCTGGGGGGATGCTGTGGCAGAGGGTGGGGGCTGCGACAGAGAAGGCACACTTCCTCAGTCCCATAAGATGACAAGATTTAATAGGAAGGGACCTGGAGTGTACTGATTCTGCCAGAACATACCGGGTAGACAGAAACAGTTGGAGATAGGGCCTGGGTACCTGAGGGACTGCATATGTCATAAAGGGCTTTACAGGTGATGACCAGCTGACTGAATTGCACCCAGAAGCTGACTGGTAACCAATGCAGCTCACATAGCGGTGGTGTCACATGGGCATACTGGGAGGTGCCAATTACTGCTTGCATTGCTGCATTTTGTACCAGCTGTAGCTTCTGGATGGTCTTCAAGAGCAGCCACATGTAGAGCACTTTGCAATAATCTAGTCTTGAGGTGACCAGGGCATGAGTAACAGTCTGAAGGCTGAGAACAGGGTGCAACTGGCGCACAAGATGTACCTGTGCAAAGGTTTTCCTGGCCACAGCTGCCACCTGCTCTTTGAGCATTAGCTACAAGTCCAGTAGAACACCAAGTTGTACACCAGTCTAGAATGGGGAAGTGGTACTTCATCCAAGACCAACAATAGGAATGTCCCCAACCCTGGGGGGCCAAACAACCATAGCTCAGTCTTGTCAGGATTGAGCCAAAGTCCCCTTACTATGGCTAGAAGACTGATATTGCAACACTGGAAAGATAAATGTATGGCCCCACTCACTCAATGGATTGAATACCTGATTACACTGGCCACCTATGAGCAGACTGCCTATAGACATAGTCTTTGTACGGCCAAGTATAATGAAATATGGGATTCATTTATATAAAATACAGTAGGTTAGGAAAAAGCACGATTGTTATATTCACATACTATTTGCATTAGATAAATATATATAGAATTGTAACTGTTTATTGTTGTAACAATATATATATATATAATATACTTGATTTTTTATTATTTTTTCTGTTATATTTTTCTAGCACTTTTTAAAGCACTTGTTATATTACTATTTTTCATTTTCATAATGTATGTATCTTGGTGTTTTGTTCCTTTTTGCTTTTCTCTTTTGTTATTATTGTAAAATAAAGGGGGGGGGGAAGGAATGAGCCAAAGTCTGTTCTGCCCCATCCAGACTCGTAAAGTTGGGTGACTTTGGGCCAGTCACTCTTCTCTTCTAGGAAGAAGGAAGTGGTTAACTACTTCTGAAAATGTTACCAAGAAAACTGCAGGGACCTGTCCAGGCAGTTGCCAGGAGTCAAGCTGACTTGAAGGAACAAAATTAAGCAAATACATTGTTCTAAAGAAAAGGTTACTGTACAGGTAAGAAGATGATGTGTTCAGTAGGAAACAATGCCATTCCATGTTGGCTAAATTCTATGAATCCCGTAAGAAAGCAGTAATGAAAATGTGCAGAAAAACAGAACAACATAGATGTTTTAACTCCTTTAAGGTTGTCTTTATTCTTACTAAAAATTCTAGTTGGAAGCAAGGCAGCAGTTGTGCATCAGAATTTAAACTGTTTGACATGAATTCAGCGATCAAGAAGGATCAGCAAATCAGCATGTATGCTCATCAGTTCCTATAGTCTGGGATCCTATTACTGACAGGACTTTGAAATATATTTGGAGTTTAAGTACTTTCTGAAAATAGACTGCATGGTTAAAATTAAAGCCTTCAACTGATAGGACATATATGTAACCCAATCCTGCAGAGATGGGATACTGATCAATTATTCTAATTTCAGAACAAGCTTTTGCATATGAACAATTGTTAACTGAATTGCTTAGTAAAATGCTGTTGGAAGAATTATCAGATGAGATTCTGATTCTCTAACTTTTTTACCTGAAAGAATTTTCTTCCAAGGACACTTCTGAATGGACACAAGCTCCACTGCATTCTCTGGGTTTTACTACTGCAACATCTTCATTTATTTTAATGGAAAATGCTAATCTAATTTGTCATTTACTATTCTCTTCTGAAAATGAATTGAATACACAAACGCATATTACACCGATGTGTGCAACTGAGCACCCATACTGGATGGCTGCACCTGTAATCACTAGCATATGTTCTACACTAATTAGTTCCAAAGATGAAACTAGGTTGACATATTAATCATACTCACATCTCAGCACTCACAGCTGGACTGCATGCTATTTGGGATGGTGGATGTGTCAAATTCCCATCTTCCAAAAACAGAAAACATGATAGAAGAGCTCACAAAAAAAACCTACCAAAGCAAAAAATTAACATGCACATTCCTCTCCAGTCTAAGAAAACTGAGACTCTGCATGGAATAGCATCTGAATGGTGCTGAATACCAAACTTTTTTTCTGTCAGAGGAAGACCCCTGTAGGGATTTATATTACTGAATATTAATAATGATGATTCCAGGGTATCTACAATGTGAATGACTGTTATAATTCCACATCAGTGTACAGAGTATACATCAGAGTATAAATACATGCTAAGTGTAAAACAGTATAATGGATTGCTTAAAAATATTTCTTCCTTATTTCTTGGATGATTAGACCTCCACAAACTTGGCTAATGAAATAAATTAAGTACAAAATCTGCTTTTCTCATTATTACTGTAGAAGCAAATTTTCTCATACTGACTTCATATTTAGGTTCTAATGACTTAACAAATATTTTGGCAATCTTACTTTCTAGACAGTGGGAACTGGAACCAGATTCGGGTACAGAATAAATATGCTAAATCCCAAAAGCAATCCAAAGGAAATAATATCATAGGAAGCCTGATAAAACCTTGAAAAACACTTAGTGACCACTAAAACACACACACACACTTCTGTGTATAGATTCCCATACACATTCTCTCTCTCGGATGGGAATACAGTATATTATTAACAAGAGCTGTCCTGATCTGGCTTGGAAAGAAATTCTCAGTTCTTCATTTACAAAAAACTGTATGTGGGAAAAAATATACTAGGAAAATTAAATATTTATAGCAAATACCTTCTTCAATAACCTAAAGACAACTCTACACATGGGTATCACTAGATGGACAACCAGCAAACTGAGTATCTATTGTGTAAGCAACAGTAGGGAAGCTCTATATAGTAAGCAAAAGCAAGTTCTGGTGCTGACTGCAGCTCACATAATAAACTCCTTGTAAATTTACAACTTAAGCTAAAGAAAACATAATATCATCAGATTAAAAAGGTATAATCTCAGCAAGATTCCATATGATTATATGGTGAAAGTAAAAATATATATTTAATGGGCTAGATCTGATAAACAACATTTCCTGAAGAAGTTTGGACTGAAATTCATGACATCATCAAATATGAAGCAAACAAAATTATCCAGAAATGCAAAAAGGAAAAGACAGCAAAATGGCTGTCTGTTGAATAGTTTAATAGAAGCAGAAAGGAAGAGGAAAAGCCAACATATACAGAGGAAAATGTGTAAGTGCTGAATTCCACAGAAGAGCAATAAGAAGTAAGAATTCATAACTAAAGAAACAAACTGAAAATAATTGTGGAAGATGAGATATTTATTTTAGAAATCAAAGTAAACAATATGCAAATATGTGACCAATAGAAGACAAAGAAGGCAAATATCTACTGGAGAAAGAAAATATAAAAGAGAGATGGCACAAATATATGAAGAGTGGTACAAATAATAATAGTCCCAAAATCAATTACATGTTTGAAAATTTGAGCACTGAGCTAGAAGCAGACATTTTGGAA